AAGACCCTGGCCCTCACTGCAGTGGCAACCTTGACCATTTCCCAACAAAACTCTTCTATATTTGTCGGAAATTTGTTCGTGTGTTCGCCAAGTTGGAACCGAATGCAAATATTTGAGTGGCCCCTTCAGGTTGCGTCTCTTTTCAATAGTTTTGTGCAGCAGCAGCAGCATGAAAAAAAGAGACAAATTTTGAACGTTTCCTGGTGACCTTGACGTTTTTGTTCGCCTTTTCTGAGACGCGTTTTCATGCATCATCGAGTTTTCTGCAGCTTGGATTCGTATAGACGTCGAATGGCAACTATTAGAAAACCCAATTTTAGGTTGGAATGGTTTGAATTTTAGGGTTTTTGAGTTCTGAATTTCAGTTTTTTTAACCTTTCTTTTCATCAGTCCCTAAAAAAAATTAACAAACTTGTTTTTAACTATTTCAACTTCATCAGGTCAAAACTCTGCCTTTGCCTTATTTTCTATTAGGATCTAAGAACAATGCGGCTTTTACCTGCCTAGAAAAGAGATCCAACAGGTAGGATCTGTTTGTCCAAAGGTATTATCCGACACGGGAACCCGAAAAAGGAGATGGTGCCACACAACACCTACGCGACAACTACGACGACCATTGGACTTAGCACCAACCTGTTCTTTTTTCTCTTCCCGTCTTCTTTTCTGAGAAAATCTGCGGAGGCGTTTCTTGAAGTTTTTTCTTCGAGTCATGACGTTATGGAGATTCCAGTTACTTTTACCAACTTTTTTAAAAAGTTTTTAAAGCTCTTTGTTCAAGTTTAGCTGATTTTTCGACCCAACAGTTCATGTATTCGGATATTATTTAGCGTTTTTCTCCTTTCTCGAGGTTTCACAGACTTGCTGAATTGTTGGAATTACTTCAGCTCTACCTGTGAGTCTGAACTTCCGGAGCTTTACCTTTAAGCTCAGTTTGGGGTTTCCGGCTTAAATCTTGAGGCAGTAAATTTTTCTGTTATTTTGTAGAATGCTTAAAGTTACTCTGGATTTTCCCAGCTTTTCTTATAAATTCAAAGGACTTGAAGATCTACCGATGCTTGATTGAGTCTTTCAGAGAATTTTCTGAAATTTTACAACGATATTGTAGTTTAGGCTCGAAATGAGAATATAATAATTTATTTTCATTGGGCTTAACATTCTTGTACAGCGATTTCGGATGTTAAAGAACGTCTTGAAGATTTACTGAGGCCTGTTCCTAATTCTCGTCCCATCTTCGGCTACTTTTAGGCTACTTTTGACTTTCCTCCTATTCTGAACGGCGTGGAGGCTTAGTCAAGCTGTTTTTATTTGAAGCTAAGCCGTTATTGGCGCTTTGAGATCCAAAAAATGTGAGAAAGAAGCTTTCTAAGCTTTTTTTGTAGTGATTTTGGCTGACTTTATTTCCTTTTAAAGGTAAATAGAATCTGATGGTTTGGCTCATTTTCGACATCTGAGCCTTGTTTTGAAGTTTGGCACTGAACATAGTTCCTCCGAGTTTCAACGATGCGCTTTCGACTTTCAGAAGTTGTCAAAAAATTCTCTCATTTTTCAAAGGATGCCACTCTTATCAACTCACTTCCTGACATACGTCAAACCTGAATTTCTCTTTTCCAGGTTTTTTTCCCCCAAAAAAGGAAGTCACGCGATTTGACCGAAAAAAGACATAAAGATCTAGAAAAAAAGGAATTGTATCCCGGAACGCCTCCACAGTTTTGTTATATAAGAAAGGCGATTGATAAAGTGCTTCAGTAAGATTTTTTTCTTACTGGATTTGAGATGCTTTCGTTTTTGAAAAGAAAATGGAAATTTCTAATCAGTAGTTTCGGATATTTTTAACATCTTTTGCTTTTAAACTCAATAAGTTCTTTCGGATAATTTTTTTGAGGCATTTTTTTATTTTTTTAAAGAAAAAAATTTCAGCGTGAAAGTGTCATCAGAGTCAAATACATATTTGAAAAAACAAATTTCGAGGGCTTACGTCACTTTTAGCCCGATTTTCTACGAAAACTCAGATTTATTCAGTAATTACTTTTTTCCTTCCCTTTCCCTCTTCCTTTTCCCTAATTTCCTAAGAATATTTGAAGAAAGATGCGTCACACCCATCTTTTAGCACCAAATTGTCGTTCCGGGATGCATAATTGCATAATTTGACCCTTCACATTCGCCTTTTATTTTGACGTTTCTGACCTTTTTTCGGTCTGGAAAAGTTGATATTTCAATCGGCGGAAACGGCTGATAACGCCCTTCTACGTCTTGATTGAATGATTTGCTTGATAATGTGACAGGCAACCGAGTGAGGCGACGATTCTGGTTCTTTTCTGAAACTTTTTTTCATTTTTTTCTCTGATTTTTGATTTTTTTTTTCGAGGAAAATTTAGATTTTAGTCTTGTCTGTGCCTAGGAACTCTCTTCTTTGATATCTTAGGTTGTAGTTCACTCATAAGTTGCCAAGTAAAATGGTGTAAAATGGAAAAATAGACAATTTCGAGGTTGAAATAAGAGGCTTGAGTGTGGGAAGTTGTGATTTTCAAACACCGCTTGGAATATTTCGAAAGTCTATATTTAAAACTTCGGATGAAAATTATTTTTGTGAGTTTTTTGATTAATACTCTCCTTTCTGATATTTTTCGAGGCGCTTTACCCTGAGCAATTATCGCTTGCTTCTTGAAAGAAGGTGCCTAATAAATCAAGAAAAGTAGGCCTTGCCGCATAAATAAAATATCCGTGTGTGGGACGACAGATAATAGCCGATTTGCATATACGTTTACACGGAGGAAAATTTAAAGTGATCCAATCCAAATCGCCACTTTTTCTTCCTCTTATTCTGTTCCGTTTCTTGATTCTCATAAGCTTTTCGACAGGTTTTTTGGTCAAAGATTGGTCTTTTTTCCGTTTTTTCAATGATTTCGTGCTTCTTATGAACTAGTTTTGAGATTCTGAGCCGTGGCGCTTTTTCCGAACAATTTTCAAAATTCATAATAAGAGTCAAAATACTTTCTAATTGAGCGTCTTTTTTCGGCCATTTTCTGATCTTCGAAGCTTTTTCCTGCCTAATTTTAGTCTTTTGGAGTTTTTTCCTCACAAATTATCAAATCAATCAAATCATTTATTTTGCTGTTTTAGTCTGATTATCTGGCCTTAGAAATCGTTTCCACCGGTTTTTGAGTTCAGGTTCATTAAGAGCCTCTCAACTCTTTTTGACAGATTTACTATCACAGCCCTAATAACCAATTTTCAGCCTCGGAGCTGTTTTCAAACTCAATCAATTCAATCAATCAATTTGTTTATTTTTTTCGCAACATCGGGATGGTATGGTGATGTTGCAGGGAGGGAAAAAGACCACTAGGTGGATTAACTAACCCCACCTGTGAAGAAAAAAAGTTTCTTATCAAATCAATCAAATCATTAACTCCTAGGCGTATGTTCATTTTTTCAATTGAAAAAATTATTTCTCGCATTTTTTTAAATTTTAGCGCCAATTCTTAGTCTTGGCGCTATTTCCGTCCTTAAAAAATGGTTTTCGCCTCGTTTGACATCAACTACCCGCCAAAAACAGGCTCCGCCCACCTTTACATCGGCGAATCCATCAAAAAGACGAAAAAAAAAAGAATTGGACGACCCCTGCTCTCACCTTCATTCACACGCGGGAGAAAGATTGCCATTGTGGTCAGATGTTCGCTCCATTTCCGTCACCTTTTCTTCTCATTCTTTCCATTTCCTTTATCTCTTTTTCTGTTCGCAATGTACAAGCGTCGGTTCAAATGAGACTCAACTAATGTTCTCATTTTTATGATGAGCATTGTTATGGTTGTATAAATTCTAGTAAAGCCTTGTAAGTTGACTTTTCTACTTCAGGTTTCATTTTGTATATTTGTAACTTTTTGGTATCTTTATCTCGATTCTAGGAACTCATAAAAAGTCAGTGATGAGTTAAAATAATCACATAATCAAAAAAAAAAGTTTAGAGATTCCTGAAGGGAGCTAGCTCTCCTTATCAAAATTTTTACACTTGATTTTGAAGTTTTATCCGTCTTTGATTGAAAAATAAGAAATTCATGAAATTTGTGAGATGAGATTTGAAGTTTTCAAAGGTAAAACTGAAGTTTTTTTCCTCCTTTTCCGTGAATTTCAAGCTCTGGCAGTTCAATTATGATTCTCTAGTTGCTTTGATGGTAATGAGGCTTGTGTAACTCTTTTTTTCCTTCTTACTTTCTCGGTATTTAGTTCAGGCTTTGTTACAAGTCTAATCTTGTCTCATCTCGTTTCGAAGCAGCATCGAAATGAAAGCGCGCGCTTTCGGTTGGACTTTGTGACTTTCACCTATTCGCTTTGAAGAGTTTTGTACCGGTTTTTGGGGTCGAGTTACTCTTGCAAGCCAATTTGCAAAAGTCTTGGTTCCTTGGACTTGCAAGAGACGAGGTTTTGATAGAATTGCGCGACTTTCTGATCTCTCTTCAATCTGTATAAAAGGCCGAACTCTTTGGAGGCTGCTGGCCTTTTTTGGACTTTTGTTTCACTTTGAATTTCCTTCGGAAAGCTTTGGGTTTTTTAAAATATCGCTTCTAGGTTTATTGTTGATTTCGTCTTATATTTTATCCATTTAGTACTGATAAAAGTTGGTTTTTTTAACTTTTAACGGACACCTCTAGAAAGTGGAAATGAACTTTGGTATGTTTTTTTACTCTTTTTAAAGTTTTTTTTGCTTAATCGATGAAAAAAATTGTGGTAACCATCAGTTATATTTATCAACTTCAGATTATTCTTTTTTTCCCATTCTTTTCACCTCAGTTTCCAATTCTAGGGCTGTTATCACTCACTAATTGTTTTTCCGAGTGATTTTTCTCCTCCAATATTATATTTTAAAGCGTCCAAAAAGCGTTTCTAACCATTTTGAATCATTTCTCACTCAAATCGACCTCCATAAACGGTACCTATTTGTCACCTCCAATCGTGTTTTCGTGTTTTCTCGAAAAACAAGCCAATTATCGCCCCTCTGTCATAGGATGATACTGGACTTGGCGTCGGCCCTCGACTTTCCGTTGGTTCATTTTTCGCCACGACGCAAGTGCGACCTCAAGGAGGTCAGCTGCGACGTCGACGCCTCTTCCACGTCTTCTGCTTCTTCTTCTTCTTCTTCTCCGACGTCTTCTGCTCCGAAGAAGACGTCGACCGCGATGAACAGCACCTGCTACAGCACCACTTCCAGTGCCAGCAGTACTAGTTCCGGCGGATCTTCGACGACGTCATCCGCCTCGACGTCTTCTTCTTCCAGAAGATCCATCGGAACTTTTGCTGCTGCCGCCTTCTTCTCTACGGCCGCCACTTGCCTTGGAGGCAGGAAGAATCGTGAGAATTCTGAAACCGTCGTTGCTGTCGTCTCTGCCAAGGATCTGAGATACGAAGACGCTTCTCTGCCCTCGACCAGTAAAGGTTTTTTTTTTCGAAGTTTTGACCAAACCAGTTCCAAATGCGTTGGGTTGTTAATGGAAAAACATTTTTTCAAGGAGTGTATTTTTACTTTGGGAGTTTCATGGAAAATCAAAGCAATGGTTTCTGAGAGGGCTCAAACTCTGATTTTCACAGAGGAGGATCTCTAAAAATTGTCGATGGTTTTCTCTGAATTTACTTTGAATTTCCTTAAAACTTGAAAGCCGATTTTTGTTTCCAGACTTTCAGGGTCCTTACCTCGGGATATTTTAGCTAACATCCAAGAAATTCCCATGTAAAATTACCTCCCTTTTCAGCTTTTTCTTTTCCACTTTCTGACTTTAAAAAATGTTCAGCTGGTTCTCCATCCGAAGAGAAGTCCTTGGACACGGCTCAGTCGTGGTCCCAAGCGATTCAGGCGGCCCTGATGCCGGTCACGCCGCAAAGCAGCACCGGTGGAGCCAAACGGGATATGGCCAAGCTCAAAGTGCCGACTGAAGGTGAGGAACTCAACAGTTTTCACCAAGAACGTAAATGATCTGACACGAGTTTCGCTTTTTTGAAAGACTTCAACCTCTTCATGAGTCCGTTGCGGATAAATTTGGCTCATTCAAAACCTTGAGTTTGCCATATGCTTTTTACGGTATTGCTCTTCAAATTCAGCATACTCACAAAAACAAAAATTGAAGAATACTTTCTAAACTTCTTTTCTTTCAGGAGAAAAAGGCCATCTTGGGTCGACGATCCAGAGCGAACAGGAATTCTCGCAGCTGTATCAGATCTTTGCGGAAGAGGTTTTGGAACTTGGAGTGGGAGCAGTCTTTTTCAACTGAATTTTCTGTAGATCTTGGGTTCGGGACAGTTTGGAACTGTCTACGGGGGCATCCACAGGAAAACGAGCAAACACGTCGCCGTCAAACTGATCGACAAGTTGAAGTTCCCTCCAAGTAAAGAAGACCTGCTCAGGACTGAAGTCCATATCCTGCAGGTGAATCCTAGAGGAAACATTTTGGAAATGAGGGGAACCGAAGAAAATAATGGAAGTTTTATCATGTCTCATAGGAAAACTAGGAGACGGAAGTTTATAGGTACGGAAAATTCTATATGAGTACCCGATAAATCATTGCTATCGTTTTTCACAACTTTTGTTCGAAAAACAAACTTTTTCCATTCAGAAAGTTCATCATCCTGGTGTCGTCAACTTCCTTCAGATGCTCGAAACTCCGGACAGGATTTTCGTCGTCATGGAGAAGCTCAAGGTGACTTTGAAGCTTTTTCAGGCTTTTGAAAGCCTAGTTGTTGCGGCTAACTCGAAAATATGTAGAGGAAATTGGAGATTTTAGTCAAGATCAGTTCTAGATTCTCTATAATCGCAAAAATAAAAGGGATTGATTTTTCTGAGTCTGTTTTATGTTTTAGTATGCATAATGACAATAAATCTTTTGAAGTGTTTTTTAAGGACGTAATTTTTGGCCCCGCTCAAAAATAGCTCCAGCTTCGTTTAGAAAAAGTTCAAAAATTTCCAGGGCGACATGCTCGAGATGATTCTTTCGAGTGAGAAGGGACGCTTGAGCGAACGGATTACTCAGTTCTTGGTTGCACAGGTACCTTCTATTCATTTTCAAGATTTTAAACAATTTTTCTCAATTTCAGATCCTAGTTGCTCTGAGATATCTGCACAATTTAAATATTGTTCATTGTGATCTGAAGCCGGAGAATATTCTTCTGACGTCGAATAGTGATTATCCACAGGTTTTCTATCGAAAATTCCATTTTTAATGATAAAAATTATGACTACAGGTGAAACTCTGCGATTTCGGATTCGCAAGGATCATTGGTGAGAAATCGTTCAGACGGAGTGTCGTTGGAACGCCGGCTTATTTGGCCCCTGAGGTGGATTTTGACATCTTTTCATTTAATTCAAAGGATAAGGTAGAATACAATGAGGTACAGTAATTCTGGAAAAAAGCAAATTTTTTTATATGATCATTTTTTGGAGAGTGATGCCGGTTTAATATTCATACTAGCTAGTATAGGGTATGCAAGAAAATCGAGAGAATCCGAAAATTTAACGATTCTTCCCTAGGTTCTCCGAAACAAGGGCTTCAACCGTTCGCTGGACATGTGGAGCGTCGGCGTAATTGTCTACGTCAGCCTTTCTGGGACCTTTCCCTTCAACGAAGACGAGGACATCCATGATCAGATCCAGAACGCCGAGTTCATGTACCCGCCCAGTCCGTGGAAGGAGATCTCCGAGTCGGGTCAGTTCTTCGACTCCAGGAAACATAATGAAATCATCATTTTTTGCTCTAGTCAAAGACTTGTACTGGGTAGTAAACAAGAATCTATTACGCATTGTTAGCTTCCAATTCGAGAAGTTTACTTCAAAATATCTCTTTAAAGTCGAAAACGGATGAGATTTTATAAGATGAGATTTTTTGATCCATAATTCTAAAAAGTCGATTTTTTCAGCCATTGAGTTCATCAACGGCCTGTTGCAAGTCAAGATGAGCAAACGGTTCACGGTTTCCAAGGCGTTGGCCCATTTATGGATGCAGGTGAGTTCAAATAAAATAAAAAGGATAAAGTGCACTGAATCGATAAGCTTCTAGAAAGAAGATGCAAAAAATGAGCTTTCTTTTCCTGTTCTTTTCTTAGATTCCTTTTTTCCTCACAACAACACGTCACAATTTTTTGAGTGTAATGTTTTTTCTTCTTCAGAAGTACACCCTGTGGTCGGACCTGCGGCTCTTGGAAAAATCTGTCGGCGAGCGTTTCCTGACGCACGAAAGTGACGATTCCCGGTGGGCCGACTACGAACGGGACAACAATTTGACGCCGGTCTACGTTTAGATCATTGTCTTCTTCCGAAACTATTTTTGAATTTGTATCGTCTTTAGTTCAATATCTCTCGATGCATTAGATTGACTCTCCCCGCGGAAATCGGGTTCTTCTTAAAACTTAGAATATTTCGTTTAGAATCGGAAAGATAACACTATTCGTATATGTTTCTTTGGATCTCGTTCTAGTGTGTTATCTATGTTCGGGCTATTTATTCGACGGCTCAGTTTTTTTTTTCAAGTTCAAAATCTGACAAAGAAAGTTTTTCCGAAAAGCAACGGGAAGCTGAACATGTAATGAGATGAGAAAAAATAAAGCCGCGGCTCAGTTTTTCTGCTTCTTGGAATTTGAAAACTAGCAGTGGCTCGTTTATTCATTTCTTCAAAAAATGCCTCGAAAAATAGCCTCAACCTCTCATTTCGACTCATTCATTGTACTGCTTGAACGTAGTTTTCTTTTTTTTTTACAAATTTTTCTCTCAATAGGTTACGGTTTTCCCTTTTTTTTCCATTTCCCCCACTTTTTCCCATTCTCTCTCTTCAAAACTCTACTCTCAATGTAAATATCACGATTTTCACTGTTCGGAAGCAAAAAAACACACATCAATCATTTTCTAACCTAATCATATTATTCTGTAATTGAATATTCATATCATCTTGTCTATTTTTCGCATTTTTCCATCAGACAATCAATTGTTCATTCCTCACGTTCTACTTATCCTGTTTGTTAGTGATCCATTTATTAGAGAATCTCTTTTTCTCTCGGTTGACTTGTCACAAATGATCGATATCGCAGCCCTGTGAATTATATGTGCAGATTTTATAAATTAATAAAAGAAAATACCTTGGAAAAAACTACTTTTCGGTTATTTTTTCGTCGAGATCTATCGATTGATGTAGCTTCTGTCCGGATCGGCTTCCCTGACCTCAGAAGCTCGAAAAAATCCCAAGGGGTTAGACCGCACTTTTTTCGATTCTTCCGAAAATATAAGTTAAATCGATGGTAAATGACGTCAGAAACCAAAAATAAAGGTCAAAATGCTCTCAGACGCCCAGATAAAAAGTTGTGATTTTTCAAAGTTGGATGATTTTTCGAAATGGGCGCGCCGTAGCGCAACAGGCTGTGTGCCTGTCTACGGTCAACAGGGTCACAAGTTCGATCCCCGCCTCGACCCAACCAAGGGGTTTAAGAAATGCTGGTAGTGGGAAACCACGGCTTCATAAATCCCCAGCCGTCACACACAAGGACGGACATGTCACTAGAGCCAGTCTACTGATTATCATTGATATCAGGATAGGACCTCGGCTAATCGACTGGAGACGCCGACGCCGCTCAAGCAGTAAAAAGAAGTAGGAAGAAGAAGAATGACTTTTCGAAAAATTATATCTTAATTTCTGGGTGCAAAGTTCCGATTTTTTATAGAATATTGACTTCAAAAAAAAAAATCATAACTCGGCTTCTAGATGGTTAAGAACTTAGAGACCTAGTTTTTACTGACCTCCTTGATCTCCTCAATCGATCGATACCAGATTTGACTTACTTTCCATATTTCGATCTCTCAGTTTGATCGCCTTTAACTTGGCTCCTATTTGAACTACGGAGGTCAAAACTAGCCTCCGGTTATTTTTTTCTCGTCGAGATCTATCGATTGGTGTAGGTTTCGTCCAGATCGGCTTC